AGACACCTTCAGATGCTTCTAGAACACCTTGAAAGTCTTGTTCTTTGGCTAAACGAACAACTAGTTTCTCATCCATGTTAAAAGACGTATTCATTTTAAAAAACGGACCTCAAAATCACAGATCCATACATAATTATTTTCGGTTTGCTTGTGAATTTTCAACTTTAGTTTCCAAGTAAAACACAAACAACTTTGCGACTACTTTGATCAATCAATGAAAATTGTTCCTCAGAGTCAAATAAAGGTCTTTTGATTTGGATTCTCAACTGGGGATGTTGCGTGTTTGATGCTCTGAGCAAAACAGGTGGGATGCAGAGAGAAAAGGACAGAAGCCTAGGAAACCACGAAGCGAATGGCTAAATGGTCTCCAAGTGTTCTCTCATTACCATGCATTTACCATTATCTCACTAATAGCTCCTAACAAGTACCTTTTAGACATTATCTATAATCCATTAGCTATGTTTTAGCCATGTTTTAGCCATAAGCCATAAGCCATAAGCCATAAGCCATAAGCCATAAGCCATAAGCCATCATCCATTTGAATTCATAATCTCGTTTTAGCTAATCGAAAATTTATATCATTTCAATAACCAAGCACACTAGATATCATTAACTATTATTATTATCATAAGTAATATTATTTATTTATGATATCTATAATTAATTAATTATATCATATCATTATTGTATGATGTGTGTGAATAAACTTGATACTCTTGATACGTTGTTCTGCTCTGTCCCTTTATACCCGATAAAGTCCTCTTCACTTAGTACTTTTTATTTAAAGAATAGTAATAAGAATGACTTCAGCACCCCTATCTTGAGTTTGGCATACTGTCTTCAACTTGTGGGAGTCTTTTTAACTCGTGGATACGCGAAGCGTATAAGATGTTAGCAGATCGATAATTAAACGTTTATCAATCGTTTTACGTCATCTGCTTACGAACGTTACGCGAAACTGGAGCTGGAATTCCATTGTAGGGTAATCTCTAGCACCATGCAGAGCAGGATAGCACTGATCATTCTCACACTCGCACATAGCTTTATCTTCGGATTATTTATATCAAAAGAATCAAGAAAAGATCGATACATGTGGTGGAGACCCGGTATAAAAAAATATTATTGTTATTATTATTATTATATAATAATAATAATAATATTATTATTATTATTATTATTATTATTATCATTATTATCATTAACTATTATTATTATTATCATAAGTAATACTATTTATTTATGATATCTATAATTAATTAATTATATCATATCATTATTGTATGATGCGTGTGAATAAACTTGATACTCTTACCAGGAATATGGTATTGGCTCGGAGGATAGAGACCCCAGATTTTAGGGCCTGTAACAAGTGCTAGCCATCCTGTAGCGGTGTTAGCAGGATCAACGTGCCATCCTGAACCGCTCTTCTTTGGAACCCTGATTATCCACAATAAGTCCAAACGTAAATCTTCATCAGCTTTAGTCATAAAATCATCGTCCTGCGACAAGAAAACTGGGACAGTGTAATCCTTTGATCATAAGGAGAGAAATCATTGGTTTTAATACTTATATCACTGAAGATATAGAAATATAGATAAGTTATAGTGCTTGGGAACGAGGTTATTCCGGGCGAAAGCCCTTGGAATTAAATTCGGAAAAATTAATTTCCGACCTCGCTGGGAATCGAACCCACGACCTTCGGGATTGTACTACCGATACTCTACCAGCTGAGCTAGAGGTCAGACTGAGAGCAGGCCGGGGTGGAATAGATGTTAGGTCGCGGTAATTATGTATTTCATAAGTGCTACGCGGTCCACATATTCTCATCGTTGCATCATAATTCTAATTCATCTAATTCATGAGGTCCTTTCACTGGATGTGATCTAATCCATGAGGTCCTCTCACTGCATGTGATCTAATTCACGAGGTCCTCTCACTGGATGTGATCTAATTCA